CTTTGAATCCGTTGGCCAGACACTATTAGCAACAACCTACTTACCATGGGAGGGAACAAACCAGATTTCAGTGGAGGAAGAAATGAGGAAGAAGTGCTGGAAGTGGATAGAACGAAATGCACCACGGATCGAGCCTTCATATGGAGTACTCAAGGCGAAAGGAGAGGAGGAAGACCAAAGAACACATTACGCCGGGAAATGGAGATAGACATGATAAAAGTGAACAAGAATTGGATGGAATTAGAAAGGAAGGCTGAGGACAGAGTGGGTTGGAGAATGCTGGTCGGCGGCCTATGCTCCATTAGGAGCAACAGGCGTAAGTAAATAAGTAAGTTAAAGGAAAATGAAATAAACACAATCTTGGAAATTAATAAAAACAAAGAAATAGAGTCATTCAGATGAAGTTGATAGCTCCATCAGGTTTAATTTATTCATGCATCAACATCAATGAAATCCATTCGCCACAATCCCATTGTCGTCAACTACACTATACACTTCACTTCACAAATACCTGTTGGTCCATATGCGTACGACTCTATGTGCAATTCAACACTGAACAGTTGTAATTATCATCGTGTTGGTGTTTATTGTCATGGTTTTGGTGGTATTGATATTAATAGTGGTAATGGTTGTGTTATTGTGTAGGTGACAGTGAGTCGATGATTTTGCGCATATGTACTTGTCTGCTTGTACACTGAGAGATGTGTGTATAGATGCAATGTTATGAGTAATAATGCAATAAATAGTTGTATTTCGAATTAAGTAGTATGAGGTGTGTTATTTGTGTGTAGTAGACTTCAAGTGATTTTTGAATAAAGACAAAGAAATAGAGTGATTCAAATGGAGTTGATGGCTTTATCAGATTTAATTGGGAAATGATGTTACTATGAATATGTTGACATTTTCATGTTTTTATTCATAGAACGATAAAATTAATCGTATAACCTATTCAGATGTGTTTCTCAAAAGTGTACAACTTTACGTTGTACAAATTATAAAAGAGCCTAATCAGAGATATTGTGATTGCTGTTACTATGCAGCGAAAAGCATGAACATTATTCAGACTATCGATTGATTGAACTGGTAATATCTCAGTCAGTCAGTTGCAACGTAGGACTGCTAACTTCTAGCTAACAATCACTCAGTATCTCATCTTCAGGATCGATCAAGGAATAAGAAACAGAAACTTGTTGAAATACTTTGTGCTGTGAATTCTAAATTGTACCAAAACTATAGTACTGAAAGAAGCCACCAATAATAATAATAATATATCTCTGTTAGGAATGCTAGATTAACTACTTAACAGAATTCCTGCTCATTTATGTTTCAATCAAAATCAAAGATGACATTTTTAAAGTATAAAGAGATTCGTTTAGTTATATGTTGATTGTGACCATCTTCTAAGATTAACTTTCTATTTCATAGTCCAATTTCACTTGTGAACACATAAAGTTGAATTCTATACAAAGATGGATAGTGGCTAGCAGTGGAATCAAGGATGAGCATTTCGTACTATCTAGGACTCTTCAGCTGGATGTACCTGCATCAGCAGAGTTGACGTTAACTCTGAGGTTCGAACTCGCCATCGCGTTATCCACTTTAGCTACTAAATCCTATTTATCAAGGCTATATCGGGGCAATACGCACAATATGCACATATGCCAATAAGAGACTGATCAACTGCAGTCCTAAACATCAATAGGAAGATTCAAACAAACAATATCAAGTGTATATAAAGTTGGATTGTTTTTACTGCCTTAATTCTACAAACATATCAAAGTTTATAACTATTATTATGATGACTATGGCCTAAGCTCAGTTTATTCCGCTTAATCCTTTATGAATCAATATAAATATCATTTATAAAATTATTAAAGTTTACCTTGAAACAATGGACAGATATTCCATGCAGCAATAACTCCACGACGTGTTACTTGTCCAACAGTTACTTCTAATAGAAATAATGGTATACCAGCTAAGAATACACTGATGAAATAAGGGATAAGGAAAGCACCTGAGCAAAACCAGAATATAATGGGAAATAGAATCAAGTTCATTTTCTTTAAAATAACTTTTGAATGAATATTATAACTTATTCATTTCTAGAAACAAAGAGTTCATTTAACTGCCACGAAATTATTTAAAAATTTACTAATATTGAGTGTGTGCTACTGATGTCGATAGATATAAGTAGTATGTACCATCGATCTAAAGTGTAATGCCTGGCGGTAGAACGTTAAAAAGATCGAAGAGAAGTGAACGAGAACAAAGAATAATTGGTGTGAAAACGAAGGACCAATGAAGTCTGAGATCATTGAATGACTTTACTGGGAAGCACCCAACTAAGTCACAACAGAAGTCCTCACAGATATGCATCAGTTCAAGTTGCCATACCTCATTAGCACAAGATGAACACCAGATTCATATATGTAGTTACTTCAATGATAGTAATATATAAAAGAAAGTTTGCATATTCACATATAATACAGAAAGGAAAACAACAAACTAGAATACATATTCATACAGCATATGAATAGGCATATATGATTTCACAATCATTATTCTTATGTTTCAGCTGTTTACATGGTTATATTCTTATCAACTCGTAGTCTTTTATAACTTGCTCACAGTCGAACGTATTGTTTTTTAAACTGATTGGACAGTTAAACTTAGATCACATTAGTTATAAAACATGTTCACAACACAGTGCCGTAACATTCACTCAAGTATATGTTCCAAACAATCTCTCACTATGTATGACTAATACAGTAATTCATAAAGGAAGCTGAACTCATCAGATGTTTATTAACTACTTTGAGATGTTTAAAACTTGAAAGGCTTAATATCAATCACATTAGATCTTAAAACTACAACTACATGTCCACTATCAACCAGATGATTAGAAACCATACAACTTTAAATGAAATGCAGTTTTAGTGTGAAGTTTTATAGAATAATTTTGGACATATGAATGTGTAAGGTGGTAGTTGGAAAAAGTCTACAAAAATCACTGTACTTAAGTTATGTGCTACTCGTCAGTAAAGTGTATATATTGTCTTGATGGGACTGATGTTCCCGCTAACCAGCACTTTATATCACAACATAGTGCATGCGATAATGGTTAAATTACAACTTGATCGATAAAATGTGATGAGCACTAAAATGAATTTTTTCCATACATGGCATTGTTTGCTACTCAGATACCGATAAATAGTAAAACTATGAATATGTGATAATCATATAATTATTCGATCTAATCACTTTCAGTATTCATTTATTTTAACACATAGATATTGGTACAAAGAGGCACCAAATAGATATGTGCCACACAAATCCCATTTGATAAATGTGAAGGCTGTGATACTGTATGGGTGCCCAGACCGAAGCAGGTGATTTACTTTGGGAGTCACACCCCGAGCCTTTGACCTAAAGGTCTAACCCACAAGGCAGTGGAGCATCGTGGAGAGATGTAGTCCCATGGTAGCCGGTGACCAACGATTGGTTCATGCGCCATTTGTTCCTTCAGGATACTGGAGCCCATGAGCACCATTGGTTTGGGATCCGGTTACAACTTCGGACATTCGCTTTTCGTCCTCTCATTTTCGTAAACAACACCCCCGCCACGAGAAGGCAGTGAGTAGGACTTCCCTGGCAGAGGCTATATACGCGTGGCCGTGTGAGAGCGTTTCGAAAGAGCGAATGGACTCTCCCGACTCACGGCCGTACCAGGGCGTTGTGAGGCATCACTTTCAGCAATTCCGTTCAACACATGAAAGCGACCAGATGATCATATATAGCATCTAATTGCCCTGATACGGCCGAGAGTGAGGAGAGTTAGCTCTCCCTTGAAAAATGCCCTCACATGGCCACGTGCATACAACTACTGCCATGTCATTACTGTTCTTTGCCAAATTGAGATGACAGAAAGCGAATATTAGGCACTTTAACCGGGTTGTTGGACACGGAGTGTCCACCTAGGGTAGCTGGAAATCCCTAATTCCAAAACAATGGTGTACATGGGCTACAAGATCCTGAGGGAACAAATGGAGTCTGAAACAATCGTTGGTGACTGACCTCCATGTGACCGCGTCTCCTTACGTTGCTCTACTGCCTTGTAGATTAGATTTTTAGGTCAAAGGATTCGGTTGTGGCTCCTTAAGAAAACAACCTGTTTTGGTTTAGGCACCTGGATAGTACCACATCCCTCACGCAAATCGAATGAGTTATCTGGCGCATATCTATTTGGTGAACCTTTTTATCAATATTTCTGGGTTTCAATAAATAAATAAAGATCATGTATAACTAATTTTAGAAACGAATAATCTATGGGTTGGTGAATGCTGGTCGGGGTGCCTATGCTCCATTGAGAGTAACCGGAATAAATAAGTAAGTAATTTGTGAGATAAAATTAACACATTTTTCAAGAGAAAAAATAATATCAAAATGGGTTTTGTGGAGATTTTTAGAAATTTCACTGGTTGAAATCATGAGTGAATTGAAGCTAGACCACCATAGAAAACCCGGAAGCACTTGACGGCCGTTTCGTCCTGGTACGGGACTCCTCAGCAGTGCGCATCCATGATTTCACCCAGTGAAATTTCTAAAAAATCTCCACAAAACCCATTCTGATAATGATAATCACTTGCTAACTAGTGACTGACTTCAAGACATACTCCTGGAGTTCTAGTGAGAAGTCGTTGTGAGATATCAACTCACTAAAGACAATGGTGTACGGTGGCGCAACTTCGTGGATTGGTTGAAGTTAGACATTAACACCGTTGGATGCCGGTCAGCTCATTGGTCAAGTTGGTTAAGCGCCTGGTGCAAGACTGATTGGTCCTGTGTTCGAATGTCGCGGGGTGCGGGATCGTGTATGCACACTTCTGAGAAGTCCCATACTAGGACGAAACGGCCATCCAGTTCTTCCAGGTTTTCTATGGTGGTCTAACATCAATTGACTCATGATTTCAACCAGTGAAAAAAATAATATATGAACTCACCGCCACCATTTTTATAACATAAATATGGAAATCTCCATACATTACCAAGTCCAATTGAAAATCCTAAACATGCAATAAGGAAATCAATTTTTCCTTTCCAATAATCTCGTTTAATTAATTTTTCTTCTGTTATATGATTTGAAAGTTTATCAACTATTTCAATAGATTGTACCTCTAATGTATATAGTTCATTAGGATTATGATTATAATGATGATTATCCATTGATAGATGTTCACAAGATGACATAATTAATTGTTGTTAAGAGGATTTCTAGAAGTTTACATTCATTTCTATTTAGATAATTCGATCAAATTTGATGTATGCTGAAGTAAAGAAGCCTCTTTTTTTGTTTTTTTTTTGATTGTTGAAAGAAAAAAAGAAAAAAAAATCAAACATGAGCGAATATTTTTCGATTAGAAACAAAATGTTTATATATGTCTATCATACAACACTTACACCACCACCACCACCACCAACATCACCACCACCACAACAACAACAACCAAAGAAAAAATCAATAAACATGGTAATGTCATGTTATGCAATAGATATTAACCAATTAAATCATAACTAATTAACTAACTTCTTAGCTCAGTAACCAGTAGAAGTTATCATTATTATTATTAATTATTATTGACTAATAACATTCATCAAGTGATAATATTGTTTCTATGTACAGACCCATATCTATATAGAATGTTAATGAAGCTGATCATTAAAATATGAAATTAAAAGGGATTATATTTCTCCTTAGCTTAGTTTTCATTTCTAGTTGACCGAATGTCAGTGATATGCTGTCTAACCATTGACTTCTATCGATTGAATTGTTATGTAATGATTGAATTCAATGACCTAACCTTATAGTTTATTTGATTTGTTCTCTGATAATTGAATGATCGATTGACTTTTATATATATTAATGATTATATAACATTTGTTATCATCCAATGATTATTAAATGGATGTATATGTATATCAGTCATACAGAAGATCAATCATTACATAAACACCTCACTGGGAATGTTTCCAAGTGTGAAATGGTAACTACAAACAAAATACTTTCTTTAAGTTAAGATAAATTTGTCAACAAATTACTTCGATGATCCATGGTTCATGACATTCCCATCTTATAGGTGCTTTTTGTAGTTGTTTGGCTATCATCAGTGCAACTCCTTATATCTGTACAGCATTTTTTACCTCAAAGCCGGAGTAATATAGAAGCTCTCCCGAAGCTCGTCTTTTTTTTTCAATCTGCATTCAATGTGATTCACTTATTTCAAGCAACTCCAGGTTGTAGTTTTTCATATCTGCAGCAACTTGGATGAATCTCTCGGTCTCCAACTTTGTACGAAAGTTCTATGTACAAAAATTATTGGTTTCTCTGGTTGTCAGTAGGGGCATCAGACTCGTGACTTCTGAAGGAACTTAGCTTTCATTATGCGACGTCATAACTTTTCTAAATGAAGAGTTTAAATGGTTCGAATTATTTTTTTCTGGTTAACGTTTTTTAGTGAGTCAGTTTTCTACGGGATGGGGTCGCTAACCCTATACTCAACCTTCCCCTTTTATCTGGGCTTGGGACCGGCAATAGCCCCAGAGGGACTTTAGGCGGAGTTTCGACATCACAGTTGATACAAATTATTTTGTAGATGATATCGGACTTGTCTTATTCCGCTCTTGTATCTTTTGGTTTACATGAAATGGATTGGAATCACTGTTTCGGTTTTTGAGTGACAATGATCTCAAAGCCTTTTTAAAATCTTTGTAAAATTTCCACAGTTGTTTTCACAGATGGTAGGTTCATCCTTTTCCTAGTTCCTGAGGTTGATATAGTGATAGAAGTTTTAGCTACAAGAAACGTTTTGATAAAAGTTCTCGGATAATCATTTATACGGAGGACAGACAGAAATGTTCTTCTACAATTTTATGCACAGTGAGAGTGCTGCGATGTGTTACGGCTCGTTTACATGGTGTCTGCATAAAAATCTTTTTGTCTACTGTTTGGTTGTCTCTGTTGTAATTTAGTATTTGATCACTATTGCTTGGTCACCAGAACAGACTGATTTACGACTAATGGAATGACTAAGAACCTCACTTCTACATAAAGTAGGCACGGATGATACTGTCCACTACGGCAGTAAAAGCTCTGCAGACAAACCCAGCTCGGAAGAATCACCGATGCCAAAGTCTGTAATTGCATATTAGCACTCATGTTCACATGAAGACTATGAACTACGGTCCATAAATTCGACATCATTTCTAGTTTCTCTAGTTACACGGATAAATTAGTTATCATTAAATGCATGAGCCATAGTCAGACTACACCAAGTATTAGCTGGATTGTGTCATTACAAGACAGTTCGAACTCGACTGAATGGCTCAACCATAACTTACTTGTCTGAGAAATGGAGGTGTTGTAGGGGATATTAGATCTCCAGAAATCACTTGATAAACGTCTCATTTTTGTAATTTTATTTTGAAGACTTCAATTTCTCACTTTCGCACCGAAAGAGCACACTTTTACCTTCAGTTTGTACTTCCCAGTCATTGGTTCGTTTCCTCTTTAAATGTGTTACTTTGTGACGTTCTCCAAGGAGATTTTTGCACTGTATATATATACTCATGACTTGTGTGCTTGTTCGTTCGTGCTTAGGGAATATACATTTCTCGTGAATGAATCTGTTCTTCTCCATCTAGTTGGGAGTGCTGGGGGCCAGCGGAATAGTTTAGCTCGTCCTGTTGCTGTGTTGTCGACTTTTTTTTCGATCTCCTGATTTCGGTGATATCATAATCCTTCCAGAGGTAGCAGATGTACTCTTGAAAAGATTCGAAATCTACCGCTGAGTAATCCCGTATTCTCTACCACCTCCTCTTGCTTCTGGTGGTCGACTAAATTATGAAGACCACGACATTTGACGAAAAGCATGGAATAAAATGGACAGTTCGGGATCAATTAGAAGATTTGGACTTTTTAGATGACCTGGCTCCTTTATCCCGTACACATCAAATGTAGGTCAACACAATCATTGTAGCAGAATTCTCTGCATCAGTGGGTTTCAACATCCCTCATTACAACTCACAGAACACCAACAAACTCAAACACATTTCATGGGGAAAATCAGGAATAGGTGGAAACTCTCACGAATCTGGACAGCAGAATCATCGATGAACAAAGAAGATCTGATGCAAACGTAAAATCTAGGACTGGAATAGTAATCACAACATTCATACAAATGAACAACATATTCAACTGAAAACAACTGTCTGTAAGCCAACATCAAAGTCATAATCTTCAATACAAACATCAAAACAGTCCTATTGTACAGAGTTGAAACTTCGAGAACAACCACAATAATCATTTGAGACCCAATTAAACTTCCTTATTTAACCAGAATTATTTAATTTACAGATTCACAAATAGCATTCATATTTACTGATTTTTGTCTTATTGAGTAATATAAAACTACTTGAAGTCCATTTGCACGTATCTAACCACTTTCTTGTTTTGTTTGTTTTGAACCAACGTTTACTTAATCTATAATTTAAGATATAAAACATTAATTATAAGAGTATTACTTAATGTATAAAGAAGAAAGTTCAGGCGTTCTATTGTAGTAACTAAGCATCTTTCGTATTCATGTCTGATTAGTTCTTTTCTTAGCAAGATATTGTCTACGGTATAAAGTTGCTAACCTTATACCCAACCCTCCTCCTTTAATTGGGTATAGGATCAGTAATAATTCTAGAAGAGATACAAGGGGAGTTTTCATATTATTCATTTTGAATTTATGATTAAGGTTTGTTTTTCTTTAGTAAATAATACGTTCAATGTATTTCAACTGGAAATACATTTTGTTTAATTCAAAACTACATTCATTGGTGTACAACTCTTGATTTATCTTTTCAATGGTTAAGATAATGAGTCCGTTGAAACCAGACCATCATGGAAAACCTGGAAGCACTGGACGGTCATTTCGTCTTAGTTTGGGACTCCTCAGCAGTGCGCATCCACGACCTCGCTCCCTGCGAGATTCGAACCCAGGACCTACTGGTTTCGCATTCGAGCACTTAACCACTAGACCACTGATCCGGCATCCAACGGTGTTAATGTCTAACTTCAACTAATCCACGAAATTGAGCGACACATTCACCATTGTCTTCAGTGAGTTACTATCTCACAACAGACCTGGTTGAACACTGGTCACTACTTCTCACTAGAACTCCAGGATATACCTAGTGAAGCCAGTCACTAGTGAGCATATGTTGATTGATATCAGATGGGTTTTTGTGGAGATTGTAGTAGTGGAGTTCAACCGGGTCTTCCGTGAGATAGTAACTCACTGTAGACATTAGTGGACGATGTCTCAATTTCATTATTATTATTATTATTATTATTATTATTATTATTAATGACTTTATTCAATATTATATTTTGGTACAATATAGAATTCTCAGCATGGACTGGTTGAAGTTAGACATTATTACCGTTAGATGCTATCTCAGTGCTCTAGAGGTTAAATGCTCGCTCATGAGACCTCGGATCGTCAGTTCGAATCTCGTATGTGGGATTGTGGTTGTGCACTGCTTAAGTGTCCCATACTACGACGAAACGGTCGTCGAATGGGTCCAAGTTTTCCACGGTGATCTAGCTTTGATTGACTCATGAAATCAACTATTAAAAGTAGTGAATCTGTCAGAAAATAAAAAAAGATTATGACTATCGTATTCAGTAATTTACAGATCGAAGCAAACATCAATTCAGTGTACATAAACCTTTCTTAACCAAATGGTTCCGTTTAAAAGTAAGATTAGTTATAATATTACATTTAATCAAAGATGTACATCAGTACTTCAGTTATACTATACCTAAAATATGTTAATTGTACTCGCTCAAACACCAGTGACTTACCATGATCTCTGTTGTCAATTAAATTTCTTTGATAGTAAATTATATACACACAATAAACTGTATGCTAATAATAAAAAGATTATTTATCCAATAGTTGAATTCATGAGTCAATTAAAGCTAGACCACCATGGAAAACCTAAAAGTACTGAGCGGCTGTTTCGTCCTAGTATAGGACTTTTCAGTAGTGCGCATCCACGATGCTGACTTGCGAGATTCGAACCCAGGATCTATCAGTCTCATGCTCGAACATTTAACCTCTAGACCATTGACCCGACATTATTTATTTATTTTGATTAGAATTTGATACAGATTATGTAATCATAATTTATATTTATTA